GGGGGGGCCTGCAGAGCCCATGGGGGGAACTGCGGGGGGTGCAATTAATAGAAAATCCTGTTTCCTCTATGGTCCCCCCCCCCAGTTTGGGCACAGGCCCGTTGCTGTGCGAGGCCCCACCCACTTGGCTCCATTGGCCCTGGGCCGGGTGTCTCGGCAGGACTGGCCGGCTACAATCTCTGCTGAGCCAGAGCCCGGTTGGGGGCAGCCTTCCCCCTTCAGCTGCCACCCCGGCTGTATGGCCATTGTTCTGCCCCTCCCCCAGGGGTCTGACCACTGGGGGGGTGTCTCTGGGGGGCGAATCCCCCCCCCCGGGAAGAGCCTGGGTAATGTGAGCTCCGGAAGCTGGTCTCCATACAGCTCCCCCAGTCCTCCCCAGGCAGGGGTCCAGCAGGGCCTTTCCCCTCTCGGGCCCAGGTCTCGGCCCTGCCCCATAGCCCAGGCTGGCCCAAGCCCCGCAGTTGGTGTCACTGCAGCAGGGCCCTGGCCTGGCTCCCTGCAGTTCATGGAGGACAGGAGGTAGCCGGGCAGGTGGTTTATTGGGGGGCTGGGCGCTCGGTTCCCAGGCTGCGGCTCAGCTCCTGGCTGTGCTCGAAGGCGGCGGCGAGGAACTGGGCGAAGACGCGGTCCATGTAGCTCTCGTGCCGGGGGAAGAGCCCCTCCAGGAAGCCGATGTGCCCGCCGCGTGCCGTCACCAGCACCGCCAGTGTGGGGAGGCGCCGTGCCGTGGTCAGGGGGATGGCTGAAAGAGAGCGAGTCAGGCAGCCGCGAGCTGAGCCCAGAGCCCCCCCCCCGCTTGGCCCAGAGCCCCCGGCACTCACCCTGCAGCGGCGAGAAGGGGTCATCGGCCGCGTTGAGGCAGAGCACGGGCAGGCGCACGGCATGGACCAAGTGCGAGGGGCTGGCGTCCTGGTAGTACTCGGCACACGTCCCGTAGCCGAACACCACGGCCGTGTAGCGCTCGTCAAACTCCCGGATGCTGCGCGCCTGGGGCAGAGAGCGGGGTCAGGGCCAGGGGCACTGGGGGGTGCGGCTGGGGCGGGGGGGGGAGAGGCGGGGGCCATACCTGCAGTACGGGCTCCACATCCACCTTCTCTGCAATCACCTTCCTGTGCCTGCAACGGGCCCCACAGTCAGCAGGGGGGCTGCCAAGCAAGACAGCCAAGAGCCCCCTGACCCCCATCAACCAGCCCCACATACCTGATCCCCCTAGCCTGGCCCCACAGCCTGACCCCCCATGTAGCAGCCCCAGATTCCCCCAACCTCCCTGCACCTGCCCCACACCTCCTCACCACATACATGGGGGTTGGAGGATCAGGTATCCCCCCCAACCTCTGCACCAGTCCTACAGCCCCCCTGACCCAGCCCCACATACCTGACCTCCATGACCCAGCCCCACCGTCCCCTTGACCCCCCCTGACCCAGCCCCACCGGCTGACGAGGTGGCGCAGGTTGGCTGTCAAGCGCCGGTTGAACAGCAGGAAGTTGAGCGGCTGCTCCAGCGAGCGGCTGGATTCCTCGGTGTCCCAGGGGACGGACAAGGTCATGGCGGCCACCAGCCCCGTGTCGTGCCCCCGCTGTGCCAGGTACTTCAGCACCAGGATCCTGGGGAGACAGCACCGCAGGTGGGCCGGGGATCTGCGCCCCCCCCCCCCCGGATTAACCCTTCAGTCCCCCTCCCCATGCTACTCCCCAGCTGGGGGGGCAGACATTAACCGCCACATACCTGGGCAATTACCCCTCACCTCCCTGTGCCAGCCCCTGCTCCTCACCCGCCTAGCGAGACACCCACGGCCAGGAGCGGCGCCCGCGGGTGCTGGGCCTTGATGTGGGTGACCACGGTCTGCAGGTCCTCTGTGTTGCTTGCGCAGAAGGCTCTGGGGGTCTAAGAGCGAGAGCAGAGCTGACGGGGGCAGAGTGGCAGCATGGACAGGGCTGGCTGACTGGGGGGTGTCCCTGGCTGACTGCAGTTAATGGGGGCCTGACAGGGGTGTTCATGCTGGATCCCCCACTCTTGCATGCAAGGGAGGGGGGTCCTGGCCCCCCAGGTGCATGGGGAGGGTTCAGCCCTGAGAGCCGTTTGCAAGATGGGATGGAGCGAAGTGCAGCCAGACTGGGCCAGCTAGCCCAGGGCCCCAGCTCTGGCAGTGATCAGTGCCAGGTGCCCCAGAGGGAATCATCCAGTGATCCATCCCCTGTCACCCATTCCCAGCTCCTGGCAAACAGAGGCTAGGGACACCATCCCTGGCCATCCTGGCTAATAGCCATCGATGGACCCATCCTCCGTGAATTTATCTAGTTCTTTTTTGAACCCTGTTATAGTCTTGGCCTTCACAACATCCTCTGGCAAAGAGTTCCACAGGTTGACCGTGCGTTGTGTGACGAAATACTTCCTTGTTGTTTGTTTTCAACCTGTTGCCTATTCTTTTCATGGGGTGGCCCCTAGCTCTTGTGTTATGTGAAGGAGTAAATAACACTTCCTTATTTACTGTCTCCACACCAGTCCTGATTTTATAGACCTCTATCATATCCCCCCTTAGCCGTCTCTTTGCCAAGCTGAAACGCCCCAGTTTTATTAATCTCTCCTCATACGGAAGCTGTTCTATCTGCTAATCCTTCTCTGCATCTTTTCCAAACGTAAAGGATCTTTTCTGAGCCAGGGCGACCACAGCGGCATGCAGTATTCCAGGTGTGGGCATCCCGTGGATTTAGACAGAGGCAATATGATATTTTCTGCTGTCTGATCCATCCCTTTCCTGAGGGCTCCCTGCGCTCTGGTAGCTGGCCCGGCTGCCGCTGCCCCTTGAGCGGCTGTTCTCAGAGCCATCCCCAGGGAGGCCGAGGTCTGTCTCGAGGGCTCACAGCTAGTTTAGACCCCGTGTTTTGCCTGTATAGATGGGACAGCAGCTCCGACCTGCCGGGACCCACGGGCCGAGCCCTGCCCTCCCCTCCAGGGCCCACGGAGCGTGCTGCCCCCCACCGCACCGCCTGAGCCAGGGTCTCTGGGTTGGAGACGGGCCCCAAGACCCCCGGGACACAGCTCACTCACCAGTAGCTCCTCCCCCTTGCACCCTCGGTTATTGAAAACGACAGTCCTGGGGAGAGAGGAGACGGGTGAGGCTCCCTGCCCCCTTCCCCCACAACCCCTCCACTCTCCATCCCCACCC